AAAATGCTGGTCACACTAAAGTTTCTGTCTAAATGGCTATTTCAAAAAACAATCATGTGCTCCTTGTTGAATGCAATTGCTTCCTCGTTTCCGTCAATGTTCCGCTTCAAGTAGCATGCACACATGTCTCGTAACTTATCTGATTGTTTATAGCTAATTATCTGAGGACGCTGAAGGTTAGAAGCAATAACGGATTTAGCGCCACCCTGACAGTCCAGGTTCTGTGGGTTATTAATAAGACACCACCGCAATCCTGATCCCATCAGCTGGAGGTGGACCGGGCATTCGCTTCTGCGGGGGAATTAGAACCCCTTCTGTCAGCCTGGGGTCACCAGAACGCGAAGGGCCGGACTGAATTCAATCAGGAACCCTGTCTAAATCACTCCAACACAAACAAACACACACACACATAAAACACCTTTCACTATCAATAAATCGGTAGCAGCAAACAAACAATACTAAGAAATATCTTGTAATGTGGACCCTAAGCCACCACAGTGCTCTTGTAATCAATCCTCCCAAGAATCTGGAAGTTCTCCCATTGATGTTTTTGGGATAAATAGCTTGAGGCACCAATAAATAAATCCTCAAAAAGCCCTCCATGCAGGTCATCTCCAGATAGAGTAACCTATTGTCTAATAGATGTGACAAAGCAGTATGAAGTGATGCTTCAGTCTGGAGCTAATGGATGCATCTTAGTCTGGCGTTTCAATCTTGCAGTGAGGTTTTATCACAGGTGGAGACTGACAATAACAAAAATACAGGTACTTATACATCCTGTGCACGTTTCTAAGACATTATATGGCAGTACTTGAGTCTGTATGTGTGCGAATGGGCGTCTCGCCTCTGGCTCTAGTGGCTGGATGGGCTTTTGTTGCCTGGAGGTATCCTGAGAGTTGTCACTTTGAATGGAAAACCTGAATAAACATACCACCACATTCATCTACTGACTAAAATCTAATTCTAGAAAATTCTAGCATTTGATTGATTTTAGCATCTAGTTTTAGTGATCCAGTCACAAGTGGTCAGTCATGACAAAATTACCACTGACCACTTGTTCGCAGATTTCGTCAAGGAAAATTGTCTCTGATTTTTAGACTAAATAAAAAAAATATATTCTTTCCCATCAATGTATGGCTTAAAGTGGATATTCCAAGTATTAAGACCCACTGATGCCTGTACAGTGTCTTTGTACTGTTATTTAAAACCAAGGGACAAGTCCAAATTTTCTGCAGTTTTCTCAACATTCCACATACTTTATATTGCTGTTTACTTGGAATATTCCTTTAAAGCTGTATCTAGAAGGCAAAGTTTAAAACCTTTGTTTTGGAACAATGGTTTCATGTTACGTGACTTTGGTGTTGTCTGAGATGCATCAGACAATAGTGTTTACACAACAAATACAATGTAGCCATATGTATGTAAGCCCCAAGAGACCATGTGTTATTTTCTTGTTTTGTTGTGACCTTGACTTAACACGCTATCAAGATTTCATTTTTTTTTTCCTTTACTCAATTGTCAACAAGTCAAAAATGTTCTTCTTGAGATCTAGACTTCATTTTCTTGACATAACAAATGTTGTTAATTAAATGTTCTTAAAAAATAAATAAAAATTACAGGACACCTACTAGGGCTGCACGATAAATCGCATGCGATATTTAACGCGCATCTTGTCCGTAAAGCCATTCTGTAATCAGCTGTAAATCTCCATCACCTGCGGGCTTTCACATTGAGCAGCATTAACTACACAGAGCCGTTGCAGCCCTAACACCTACAGTGAATCTCAAATCTTTTTAACTAAACACCCCCCATTGTCCAACACAATTTTAAATATATTTCCTCCATCATTTCTGCTATAATTATGACAAATGCTTGTTTTTAATCATTAAAAAAAGTTATTGAGAGGCAAAAAAAAAGAAATATGATTTCTTGATTTTATGCATTTTTAGCATTAATTTATTAACAATTATATTAATATTACTACTAGTAATTAATTTGAGTAATTTTAAGCCATCCTGTAGTCCCATTGAAAGTTTGCTGAGGTCCCCTGGTCAAGAACCACTAATCCACATGCTTACAGAATATTTTACCAGATGGTGTTTAAATAGTTTACCAGAGAAATTGTGAGCAGAATACAAATTACATTATTTTATGTTAATATCGTGAGAAAACTCATGAGACAAAAAAGAAAGATAATGCATCACCTCTTAGGGCTTTTGTATATACCTGATCGTTGAATCTTGTTTACATTTGTTAAATAGTCAGGTCGATGCTAATATCAGGTAGAAATGGGACCTTACTGAAAGGCACAGATTAAAAATGACAAAGTGAACACCTGATTTTTTTTAAAGCAGAATGATCATTAAGTGCAGTCAAACAAAATATTAAAACTGTAAATTACTTCAAATTGATTTTAGATTAGCTTGAATTATTCTTTAGTATCCAAAAATGGGATGGAAGTGAGAAGAACCAGTTAATTCAATTATAAATGGTCACTTACCGTAGAGAGCTAGAGGAGGTAATGGATCACCGGTGCAGATGAAAAATTGCGAGGAAGTAAATGGTGCAAGGTAACTCTGATTTTTATAATCACACATACACGCTTTGCAGTTCTGTGATAAACCGCTATGAAAGCCTGGGTGGATCTTCACTGCTTCTAGACAGGATGTTTTTAGTATGACGAGGTTGCTCAGAATAAAAACAATGACTCTCTAGGAGAGGTTCAAATATCTAGACTGGATCCATTGCAAACAAAACAGCAAGGAATTTAGCTCAGGATCTCGCTGCGGGAAAAGAATGATCGAAACATGGCTCAGTAATTAGCTGACGGGGAGCTAATGGGCAAAGCTACAAATAGTCACACAAGATTCGTTCCTGTCTCTATCACAGCTGCTTGTTGATACTTCTAATACCATTACTACTGAGACATCACAGTTGGAAAAAAAAAAACTCCATAAAGTCCAAATGAAACACTAACAGAAGACAAATTCTAATATTTTTCAAAGCAATGAATCAAAAGCGAAAACCTCTCTGATGGCTGCATTTTATCAGTCTTCACAGGGAATCGAACCCACAACTCGCACCATACTCTAAAGCAACTTGATCTAAAATATCTTGATAGAACACAGAAAAGTGAGGAGCAAGTAGATGACATTACGATAAAGCATGGACGCTTGTCTTTGCTAGGCTCTTTGTCAGGCTACATTGATCAGGAATGAGCATGCGAGGCTCCAAACCTCAGCCTCTCAAGCCTGCTTATTTCATTTAGTCTAAGAGTTTTCATTAGTCATCACCATCAGCTTTAATAAAATTTCCCTCCAGATGGTAGAAGAGAAGGCAGTGCCACCAAAGTGAGCCTTTCATTTGTTGGTGAATGGTAAAAGTGAAAATCTATTGTGGAAATCATTTGCAAGTTCTGAATTAAATGAAGACAAAGTGATGTTAATAAAATGGGTTTTAGTACAGTCTGCCACTAAAGGAAGGCCTACAACATCTCACCATATGCCATAAAGTTCACAGTGGATCATGACCTAAAAATGAGCCATCTGGGGAAACAAATGCTACAAGCAAATAAAAAAAAAAAAACGAATTGTACACGTTCATAGTAAGCAAAGCAAATAAAATAGACTTCTTTTTTACATGATTAAAAAAAATACACTACAGCTCAAAGGTTAGAGGTCAGTAATTTTTTTTTATTAATACACTTATTGAGCAAGGATGCATTAAATTGATCAAAAGTGTCAGTAATAACATTTATAATGATTTCTGTTCATGCAATTTCCCATTCATCAAAGAATCCTGTTTCCATAACATTTTTCAGCACTGATAATAAGAAATACTTGAGCACCAAATCAGCATATTAGAATGATAAAGAATAAATTACATTTTAATTGAATTTAAATATATTAAAATAGAAAACAGCTATTTTAATTTGTTATAAGATTTTACAATATTACTTTTTTACTGTATTTTCGATCAAATAAGTGAGTATGAGAGACTTGTTTCAAGAACATCGAAACAAATCTTATGACCCCAAACTTTTGAACAGTAGTGTACTGTATATGTCAAATATAATTTGCATAAAAATGTGTAATTTTAAAATTATTTTGTATAATCATTTTTCAATAATTAAAAAAGGCACAAAATACTATTTAGGTTGAGCCACCACTTGATGTCCAATGTAAAATCTGGGTCCTGAAGCAAAAGCACTGTCCAATACATCACTTTGAAAGAGTTATGTATTCATCATTTTGCATCAGCTGAGAGCATGAGAAATGCTGGAGGGGATTATAATTTTTCCTGCCGAGTGGAAACATTTAATCTGTCTTTCCCAAAAGTCTGCAAACCACTTACTCATTCTAAACATCAAAGTACGAAGATGTGCAGAGTACTGAAAATATGATGAAAGACAAACACTGTCCAAATAATTAATCAAGATCTGCAAACATGCTGATCAGCCCTGCTGAAAAGATGATGCTGGTTTATATGGGTTAGATGCTGTTCTAGCAGGTGGACCATGCTTTTCAATAGCTGGTTGACCAAAAAAAAGTCTTGCTAGTTAAGCTAACTGACCCAAAAGTGCTACCAACTGCATCAATATAGCATAGTATTAAACGAATGTGTTTTATCAGACATTTTACAATGGCTTGTGATATAGTGATATAAAATTGCTCATACCATGATTTAAGATTAATTTCACACACAGTCTTCTTGCCTCTGTAATATTAATCATTTGCTATAAAAATCAGGCCCTTGAGGCTAAAAGGATAATTTTTGTAGCCCATGAACTTTCCAAAGGTGATCAGCCTAATGCTAGGGCTAATTACGCTGGCTTATTGAAAGCATAGTGGATTTCAGAAAGATAGTTAAACTTAGTGAGCAGGCTTCTCTATATGGATCAGTAGCTATGGCTGTCGCGCCTCCTTTTCTGACCCTCCTCTCTGCTCCCTTCATTTCTAAGAAGCCTCTGTCTGAGCGCAAGGCTCTTTGAGAACCTCCACCTTCTAAGAATGTTCTGGCTCCTTTCATTTCTTCCTTCAGAAGCCCAAAGTCTTTTTTGGTCTTTCACTCTCTGGCTTTCTTCTTGTCCCCTCCTGGTCCCTGCTGAGGAACAGTGAATTGATCTGCAGCTCTAAGCCAAGTATACATCCACAAGCACAGATGCACACACACAGACACACACACACGCACACCCTTCCTGTGGTTTGCCAGTGATTGTATTCACACGCACACAGAGCAATCTTCAAAATGAAAACTGTAACAGGATTACTCCGAGACACCGCATTGTGTGACAGACATTGGACAAACTACAAAATATTGCATTTCCTGATATTTCTCGTTTTCAAGCAATGCTGCCAATCTTCTGGGTAAAAAAAAACCAACTCGAACGGTCAAAAGTACTCTGAAATAAGTGCAATACTCAGAAGATGGAAGAGTTTATTTCAATTCATTTTGACATAATGAAAATGATGGCAACAGTCTTACCAACATGATCTGTGAAAACTACATTCCCAATTTCTGTCAACCTGTGTTTATTGTTATTTCTTTTAAGAAATAGGCCTAGTTCACCCCTCAAAAATCTGTCATGATTTACTCACCCATGTCGTTCAAACCCATATGCTATTATTTTGTTCTGTGCACAATAAAGGAACATTTCTAATGAGCTCCAGAAAGCACAAAAATCACTATTAAAGCACCATAAATGTGGTTCATACTCGTGTGCTACATTCCAAGTATCCAGATAGATTTCCATGAGGAAAAGACTGACAGGTCATGATTTACTGATAATGTTTCTCCATTCCACATTTTCAAACTGTCTTGTTCTGTTGTGGCAGATGTGAGAACCAATGGCGTTCAGCATCACTGAGTATTTTTGAATTGATTTTCACAGAATAATCACTTAAATTACTTGGTCTATTTCTCACAGAAAGCTATCGTGTGACTTCATAAGACACTGAATATAGAGTACAATAGACTTTATTTTTGGCGTTTTCTTTTTAGAGAATAACAGACATGGGCATTATGAATGGTCATTGTATGGCAACGGCTGTGTAATGATTCTTCAAAAATTCTTCTTTTTTGTTACCCAGAAAAAAATATAATAGCATACACGTTTAGAAAATAATGAGGGAAAACAAATAATGACATAAATGTAATTTTTGGGTGAAGTATGCTTTTATATATTGAAATATTACTTATAGCCTCTTTTCAATGACTGAAAAGAGCATATGTTTAACAGTGCACTGTGAAAATCCCAACTGGTTTAAAAACATTTAACCAAGCATAAAAACATTTTTACTTCATCTTTTCAATGGAACTTTTGTTCTTGTTTCCCCTGCACTTACAGGCATAGTTCTTCATAGACAGTTTGAGGTTCACCACTAACCACTGACACCTGAAAAGCTCCACTCAATGTCGAAATCTCAGTGAAGAGGGGCTAAAACACTTTATGTGAACAACAGCTCTCCCAGGCAGGGTAATATTTTACGTGGCAGTTAAATCAAAACAGTCAGACGGGTATATTGTTAGAGGATTTATGTAGTCTGGACAGGTCTCCTCTGTTCAGCCAAATGAAAGAATGCAAAAGAAAAAGACAGGCGGCATGAAAACATATGGGTGGAATAATTAATAGTGAGGTTTTTTTTTTAATAGCGAGCAAGTAATTTGTGGAGAACCACCCAGCTAAGTGGTTAATTCATCCGTGAAGAACATTAGGAATCTTTATCTGTGTTTAGCAGCTGTCATTTACAAACTCTACATATACGTCTGACAACCCAACCGACTGCTGTAGTCCATCAAAGGCATAATTGTCATTATGGTATGGTCCTTGGGGGGTTTTATGTAATTTTGCGGGAAAAATTACAAATTAGTGAAGTTGTCAGTTTGTTAGGAGCATCTTAATTATCTGTCATTTCACACAGCAATGCCAAAAGAAACATGAACAGCACTTTAAGAATCAATAATTCTTTGGAGACTGCATATCATGCAGGGCTTGTCATTTATGGCACATTTTACAGCGGAGAGCAAAGGAAAATTAATTTTACAAGAAATAAGATGTCTTAATGGCGGCTGCTACTGTAACTTGGATGGAAAGTACATCACAATAATTTACTAGAGTTCAGTTTAATTAGGAGGAAAAAAATTCATCCGCTGAATTCCTTTTTAATTGGTATACGACTTCACAACATGATTTCTTGTTACCAAAGTCCCGAAGCATGACTGGGCTTTGTACCAGGAAATGAAAAGCAGCTGATAATCATAACAGACTCTAAATAGAATAACAGAACTGATATTGGATAAGCTTGTTAGAATTATCATTAAATCTTTCCCTTTGTCAGATAAAAAAAAAAAAAAAAAAAACAGGCAGCAGTAGATTTTGGGGTGACTTCATTTCAGGTTTATGTTTTTTTTATCTGAACTCTGATTTGGGGGAAGTCGTGGCCTAATGGTTAGAGAGTCGGACTCGTAACCCAAAGGTTGTGGGTTCGAGTCTTGTACCGGCAGGGATTGTAGGTGGGGGGAGTGAATGTACAGAGCTCTCTCCCACCTTCAATACCACGACTGAGGTGCCCTTGAGCAAGGCACCGAACCCCCAACTGCTCCCCGGGCGCCGCAGCATAAATGGCTGCCCACTGCTCCGGGTGTGTGTTCACTGCTGTGTGTGTGCACTTTGGATGGGATAAATGCAGAGCACTAATTCCGAGTATGGGTCACCATACTTGGCCACATGTCACGTCATGTGTTTTTTTGTCACGTGATTTTTATTATTACTCTATGTTCTGATGTTCAAATTATTATGCTGAGTCACTGAATCAGAAGATCATATTCTCTGTGCTTGTCATATTAAGTTCACATTTTTAATTTGAACTGAACGATTCATTGGTGCATTTTTATTCCAAAAAAAAAAAAATGTCATCAAATCTCAAAATCTAGTAACTTGCTTTTCAACCAAAAGTAATTTCCCTTTCTGGAAAATTGTTGCATAGTAATAATGTTAGCTAATAGCTAGGCATTGTTTTAGCAAACCTGATCTGGCAGAATTCTCATACAATATGGTATGTAATGCTCACTTTTCATAATCCATACTGCTAATTCTGGTGAATGAAATAAATTCCAGCCCTTATATGTATAGTACACACACACACACACACAAACACGCATACACACAGTGTGTATACAGCATGCAAAGATAAAATCAGAATATACTTGAAAATCTAATTCAACAAAAGTTCACTTTGTCAAACAACATTTTGGCTAAGTCACATACATACATATACATACATACACAAGCACGGATGCAGGATTTGAACAAATAACTGCAGAAGGATTTATCTAAACTAAGATATACATTATAGATGAACAAAAAGTGCAAGTGGAAAATAGAAAAACAAAATGCAGGGTTGTTCTTGTTTACAATGTTCTGACCTACTATTCCAGACATGCATTTTTTATGAGTATTATCATGTAGACTGCTTTTTACGTTTATCTTCAATTAGTGTTTTTTATGTATTTTCTTAAAGAGTTGCTTTGTTTTGGCTGTATCTTGTTTTCCAATGCAAAATGACTTGTGAGAAAGTTTAAAAGCATTTAAAATCGACTTCAATAATTCAACACACAAGACTCCTGACTCGGAAGTAAACTCAGCTTGGTTTGTCAAACAACATTCTACCTAACTGGATAACTGATTTAACAAACATAACTCAAATCAGTCTCTAAATCCAGGTAGTTCACGATTAACCCTCATGACCTGTGACTGGACTTTGGAAGTTGAACATTCTGTAAAGATGGCCTTAATTAGGGTTTACAGACATTCATGAAATGCTAAAGAGCCACTGTGACATTTAAATAAATATCTGGAAGATGAGGACTATGATCTTGTATAACTGTCCATTTTAAAATAAACTAAGGTTAAAGACATCTTTTCTGTCTGTTGCCCTCACTGAAGTTAAAGCCGTGCTTTGAATTGCACAAGCCTACTATAGCTTTTTAACTGGTTAAAAACCAGCCCAATCTTTTAACCTCCAACCCACAAAGAAATTAGAACTGCTAAAATAAAAATTAGTTGTGATGTGGTTGATGTGGTTACAAGATGTGGTGCATGACATTTCATTTGTACTATTTTACAGAATAATTAGTGCTTGCATTGTTTATTCTAAACCTCTAAGCATTACACTTTTGCACTTAACTCATTTGTGGTACAGGCGAGAAAAATACCCCAATTAGTGCAGAGAGGTGTGCTATTATTTTTCTAAGCGATCAGATTCATATTTCCCTGGTAGACAACAAAACAGGTGAAAAAAAAAATCCCACAAACTTGAAATGAGCCACATTTACAAGCAAAACGTCATGGAGGTTTGCAGGTGGGCTAATGTGCCTTGGACCAGTAATCAACCACCTAGCAACAACCCAGAACACCCTAGCAACTGCATAAAACAGTAATAATAATTTTAAAAAAAACTCAGGACCACACAGGCAATCAACCACGAGCATCACAAGCGAGTCGCATAACCAAGCACCATTCACATTTTTATAAAATGTAAAAATTTCAAAAATGTAAAAAAATGAGTCATTTCATTTTAGAAAAAGTTCATTAAAAAAGTATTTCTTCATATTACATAAGAAAACCATTTAAATATTTAAACCATTGAAATTAGAAACTATATCAACTATATCACTCCTTTGGCATATGCAGTTATTGCTTTTCAAATAAAACAGCCTGCAGCATATATAGTCTATGTATCACATAACTTTTTTCTGTTAAGTGCAATGAACTTGCTGTGATTTTCAAGTGAAATTAACATGTTTCATTGTTTCAAATGAACAATTTCACTTAGGTTTTACAATGCATACAATTCTTTGGTTGAAATTAGTTTTTAATTTAAGTAAAATGGAGAATGAAACATTTTATGACTGCAACGCAAATTAAAGCTCTTCAGTTTCCAAAAAAAAGTCTTCTGGCACTTGAATGCAGTCAGATGCATTGCATTCATTGTTTCAAAGTATAAAATATCTGCTTGTGTATGCCACACTTCAAGAACAAAAGGAAGAAATGCCCTCAGATCGCATCGTCTCAGTGAATCTTTTAAGACTCCCCTCCTATT